ATGACACTTTAGTCTTCCTCCCGATAGTGTCTACTTTGAGTTGTAAAATGAACTTTTATGCTATATATTTTTTCAACACATTGTAGTCAGATCGTTGCCAATTTTAAATCTACTTTGTGCCTGTGGTCTAAACGGACAAATACCTGTTAATAACATTTGCAGCTTGCAATTTATATAAAATTCCTCTTAATTGCCAGCATAACACACCACTTAATAATATGCTCCTACAACGCACAACTTGAGCTGCTGATACAATTTTCTGGACATTTCTGCAGGTAATTAGGGTAACAAGTCTCCTCCTGACATACAATCAGGAAACAGAAAGCCAGTGTTAAGTGTTCAGCATATTCAGGTCAAAGGACAGTAAGTACTGCAGCACGTACTGCAAACAGCTGCTGCTGGTAGCTATCAAGCTTGATTTCTAAGAATTTAAGTTTGAAATATGCACTTTAAGACAGAAGTCAGGGCTCTCAATCTAGGAAAGAAGCACACATCTGCTCAGAAACCTGCAGCAGACGTGCCTCATGAGTGCAAAAAGAAGGTGGCATTCAACTGGGTGGCAATAATATCAAAATGAGATCACTTACAAATACAATTTCTGTTCCACAGTTTGGAAGCCCTCAGTTCTCCAACAAAAATAAATCTAAACATGCATTCCACCCAGGGATACCAGAAACCTATGTTGTTCTTTATAGGTGACATGAGAACTAACACACAGATGTCAGCCAGACAAAGAGACAATATACAGCGCAGCTTTTGCAAATGAAATTCCAATGACAGTTCCAGGGTTTCTCAACAGAAGTGCCGATGAACTGTCACAGTAGTTTTAACTATTTGAAGTTATGGTTAGTCTTGGCATGCATTACTGAAATCATCTTGATTCAAAACATTCACACAGTAAACACTTCCCTAAAACCAGAAAACCTCACATCTCCCATGTGCCTTTTCAAGAGGTACATCAAGGCTTGAAAGGAACTTTCTAAAGAAACATTGCACTAAATTAGTATAAATTGACCAGCAGCTCTCTCAGATTGTAACTCAACTATTTCTACTCCTTCCTACTTAGTGGATTTAATGTAAATTAATCAACAGTCACATATTTTATCATTATGAATTGAAAACAAAGAGCAAGGGGTAAAAGGATGCAAGTGATGCATGGGGTGTATATCCATATATAGTCTATAGGCAACTGTTTTCAGTAATAAAACATTTTCAGTAATAAAACATTTTGAAATGACACACAGCAAACCATTAGTAAATTACTTCCTCCAAACCCTATGTTAGTTCTCCAAGTGGCAAAAACATGCACAACAGGTGGTTTTAGCCTACCATCCATTTCTGGATATGAGCCCATTTTCTATCATATGAATGCTGAGAAAACTACAGAATGTAAAAACAAACAAATCATTTAGAATATAGATTAGTCACCACTCAAGACTGGATTCCTAAATCAAAAAAATCTGGAAAAATCTAAGTTAATTGCCATGTAATCCTCAGCATAATATCAGATACCTACAGCAGTTAGAAGACTCAAAGTATGCAATAATGAGAATTGTATAAAATCGAGGCAAAAATATGTTTTGTAAATTGCACTTGTTACCACACCAATCCCCCCCAATATCAGCATTTACATGAATCTGAATGTAATAATGATAAATACCAAGTCTTTTGCACGCTATGTCAAAACCTGAGTCAAATGCAAAAACCATGAAATAACCAGACTGCTTAAAATCTAGTTCCTAGGGTTTTTTGCTCAAGAAATGCAAACTTTTTTTTTTAGAAACATGTGGAGCAACACATAACTATATGTGTAAATATTATCCCAATTCTATTATTTTTTCTTAAATAAAGATTCTGACAAAAGGTACTTATTGTGAATACTTCCAGTATAATCCACATGGGAAGAAATTGACTGAAACCTGCATATTCGAAGTCACATATCCAAATTATCCACTTACTAAGAATATTATATAGATTAAAATGGAGCAACATCCTTCTCTCTACTTTTTCATAGTTGTTTATCCTATACATTAGGCAGTGTACACTTTGGGTATGGTCACATTTATTGTTTATGCTGTGCTGCCAGTTATCCATATTTACATGGACCTTTTGCACAGCAACAACAAGCAAAGAAACTGCCACGTGTTAAGTGATTGTTCTTATAACAGCACGAAAGTCACCAGGGTGATTCAGTCTCAAATCTAGTAATTTAAATCCAGACAACATTAAACTTCACATTAGAAGTTGAAAACTGTTCCTCTCCATGCAAAATTATTTATGCAAGTCTGAGTTCTGGACATTATCATTATGTTCTCTTCTGCTTATTTAAAATCAAATAAGCAGTCATAAGAAAGACTCAGTCCTTTAAATATCTCGAGATAAACATTTAGATTAATCTTTGTCCAATTTTGATGGCTAGCATTGAATTTACTGCATTTGTTAAATGTAAAACATCCAAGCATCTGATTTTGCCTGTAAAACTAGAATTTAAAATCACATAAAAAATATTTTAGTTTTCATTTGAAAGCAAGAATGCTAATAGCCTATTTTGTATAGCAGATTTTTTCCACAATATGAGCGTAACTATTAAAGAAGTTCAAAATGAACGTTCAGCTTAGTATTTTGTGAGGTGCTATCCACAGGTAAATACAAAGCAAGGTATTCTTTTCACCACAACAGTATATAACCTAAAGGGAAAGGGAAGGGTATCGAGGGGAGAGAGAATCTAACAGTTACCTGATGCTGAAAAGACTAGCATGCAGCTGAATTACAGCAAAAGACAAAATCTGACACAGGTATAAAAATAAAATACATGATGAATTTTAGTAAAGGTTTGCAACAATTCCTGATGATTTACACTACCTCTTTCTGCTGTCGCTCCAGCTCTCGCATGCGTATATCTCTTGCTTCTGCTCGAGCCGCCCGTTTGGCTGCGAGCCTGGCTTCTGCCTACAAGCAAATTGAAAACACTGCAAGTTAAAATCACATTTTTTTGTATAATGGTTTGAGTATTCAATTTAATAATCTCTTCACAAAAACACATTAAGATTCTAATATTAAAACACGTAACTAGTAAAGAAACCAGAGTTCTTAGAATGAAACCTCCAAAAGGATATACACCCAAGTCTTTACAGATATCATAAGTAGTAAAGAAATCGGAATTCTTAGAATGAAACCTCCGAAAGGATATACACCCAAGTCTTTACAGATATCGTTACTAGTTAAAAGAATCACATGTTGATAAAAGAACTGAGTTCAGAAAGATTACTATCACTAAATCTAAAACTTCATGTCTTGCAGACTTTAACAGAACTTTGCCTATGCATAATATTTAAACAGACATGTATACAGCTGCAGAATCTTTGGCCACGGAAAGACATTCAAACAAAAAAGAAAGAATCAAAACAATTTTTTTCATGTTTGAATAATGAGTTGATGAAAATTGTCTCTTAAATTCTTAAGTATTAAACCACTGAAGACAGGTTTTCCATAAAAAATTCTAGTTGTCCACCTAACATTCACAAAAAGCTTATGAGAAACATCAGCAGCCAAAAATTCAGAACTCCCATATAATTAAATGTTTTGGATGTTAGAACTTCTTAACTTCTAAAAGTTCTTAAAACTTTCAGACTTCTTAAATATGTAACATTCAATGGGATTTTGCCCCTGGTTGAGGATAGGGGTTTTTTTTCTGCTTTTGTCACTATCGCAGCAGTTTTACATAAAACATTAGAAACCTATAAAATTCACGACAATGGTAAATAACTATCTTTTACTGTGCTTCAGGAAAAAGGAAGGGGTATTTAACACGGAGTTTAAATTATGATTAAACTACAGGTACCAAAATATCTATCCAATAACGACAAGAAAGAAGACAAACACATTATAGCTTTGTTACTTCAGTGAGTTTGTCTTAACTTCAAACAACTCTCATAAAGACCGTTTTTCTCTATTTTGCCTACTCAGATGAAATGATTCCAAGTCTGTGTCAGCATTCTTGACTGCCATGATGTAATCCTTTTTCAGAGCAGCATAAAGCTACTCTGTTTCCCCCGCCCCTTATGACAGCACACCAGAAAAGCTAGGGAATTCCCACGCAACAGGAAGTCTTTTCTCACTTGCAGCCCTACTCTGATTGTCTGTAATCACAGCTCGGTGACAGATAAGCTTTGACAGACATGTACGCAGCACAGAGAGAGAAGGGACTCAAGGAGCTGGTATGTCTGCGTTTAGTTCTGCTATCGATCAGCAGATATATGCATCCAGCCTTTAGACCCTGGCAAGGCTTTACTGTTACAGATAGAAAGTTCATTTGTTTACTGATTCATGCTAAAAATCAATTCACATTTAACTACAGCCAGAGATCTAACTTGCACATTCCTACAGCAGAGGGGAAACTTCATTTCTTCCAATTTACTAAACCCTTCATAGAACACAGGGGAATTGTATGAACTTTTATCATAAAACGGGTGCCTGAAATGGAAGAAAAACTATTATCTTTTTAGAGAAAGTTTTTACCAAAAACTGGTTTGATATTGCATTAATTATTAATCTGAGCAACCAGACTCCTCTAACAAGCATACAATTTCAAAAAGACAAAGAAGTTGGCAAGTCATAATCCAAAAGGACAGTTTTCTTCCCGAGTGCTGCTGTTCACTCTGTTGTGTTACTGAAGAAAGCTCATAAAAGTTGTGCAAACAAACTTCTCCCAACAAACTCTTCACAAATTAAATTCTTCAGCTATGTTGAAATAATGTCTTAAAATATCTGTTAAAGGAAACAGTGCCGCAACAGCTTTGGGAGACTGAGTTGAAAAGTTTGGACTATAGAAGCAGTGCAGAAAAAAAATCTAGACCACTTTTTCTTTTTTTGAAAAAAAAAAACAAAACAGCAAAAGGACAGGCAGTCATGTTATAACGCTTTTCTAATTCAATTAGTACTTGAATCAAAGAGCATTCCAAATACATCACTGTTTCTTGCTCATAGAAGCTTGGGAGTCAGTACAGGTTTTACATTAAACAAATTCCAGTCTCAGAAAACTACAGACTGGCTGCTACAGTCTCAGTCTTGATTTCAGCTTCATTGGTCATTATTCTCTATAAAGACTTCAGATCAGACTATTAATGATATATTACAATATCATCTAATTGGAGTACAGCTTGTTAAAAAGTGATATAACAAATTCTTATTTTCCTGAAGTAAAAATTAAAGTGGGTTGTCCAAGATCTAGCAAATCTTTATTTTAAAAGTTTCTCAAGGGGACTTCCAACTGCTAAAAAGAAATGTGATAGTTGAATTTCGTTGAACACTTCAACTGCAAATAAGAGATAAGGTATTCAAACCTGTTAAAGCCATACCAGAGACTTACATTGGTGGCTAAAATGGAGAGAAATTGCTTGCTTGGGTATATATTCTGGAGGACAAGTAGGAGCTATTAGGTATAGATACAACAATTTTGCATGGAATTTATCAAGGGAAGTGATCAGGAAAGGAAATAGAGCACTAGAAATAAGATCTTTGTAACAAAAGAGATTGAGTACAAAAATACAAGGAAGAGGTCCTCAAGACTTTGTTTGGACAGGAAAATAAAAGACTAATTAATAAAGGATTAAGAACTGAGTCTAATTTTTTTTTTTTAATATATGAGCACACTTATACTACTCCTTATCTTTTACCTTCTACCCTAAGGACAAATACATGATTTTAAACCAAGTGCCATATTTGCATTTCTTTGGGTATTAGCTCTGCTCTGAATAACAAACAGAAGTCATCTGTTCACTACTGAGTTCTGGAATTCTTGATTTCAAAACATGTACCAAAAAGCATTACATGCAAAAAAAAACCCCTAATGTTTCCTTGCACCTGCATAAATAGCATTTCATTCCAGAAGAATATGATGATTCTGGCTGTTTTCAAACAGTTAAGCTACTACCTTGAAGCAGTACTCACTTTTATGTTATGTTTCCTAAACATATACAGTAAAATAAGGGTAGCAAATCCTC